GTCAGGCACAGTTTCTCTAGTAACTGTAGGCCAAACCAAACACAAACACTGTTTCCCTAAACACACTACTGGCAAGAGTCACCCCTGCAGAATTTTTTGCAGTTTTCTTGCTTTATAGGATTGAGTACATGGAACTAACAAAACAAAGTGCAGCTTGCTAATAGCAATCTTCCTTCTACAAGCCATTTGATTTCTGTGGATGATGGATAACAGACAATTTCTCCAGGTAAGCAGCTGAAGTTCATAACTATTGATATAAAAGTCAGTAAGCCTGAGTTATTTCCATATGGGAAAACATCCTAGGTGACAATCTTCTTAGAGAAAAGCACTTTGCATTTGCTTTGTCAGGCTATATACTGTCCTGATCGCATTCAGAAGTATCACGTAACAGCAATGTACAAACAATAGTAGTGCTGCATGAACACAGCACTAATTCAATTGACTACGCCATTATGTCAGAGGGCAGAAGAAACCTCGTATCTGGATGTTAAAAACTTACACCTTTATTTAAATCATGCAGTCGCTGTGCAGAGAATTACTTTTGACTGAAACAAGACAGAAACTGATTCCAATCAAAGCCACAAACTAAAATTTTAACATGTTGATTGCTCACAAATTTTTCCCTTCCAGCTTATATAAGTTAGACATTTTCTGGGCCTGATGAAAGGGCTTAAGAACAGGTATTTCAGAAATGAACCATGTTCCAAATAAGGTTTTCATCTTTACTTGATTACTTAGTTACTCAGTGGGCATTCTGTAAAAACCTAAGTGATAGGTACTTACAGATAGTTTTTCTGGTTCAAGATTTTACCGTGAGTACTGTGTTTTATTATGCAAAGCACACATGACAGTATGACCATGCTAATTACACTGATCAAGAAGAGCCTCCTGCCCAAGGAAAACACTCACTGGTGTAAAAGGTCTTTGAAACAAGGTCTGTGAGAGCACCCATATTGTGCAGGTAAGCAGGCAAACCACAATGGTATGACAAAAGAGTGTCATACCGGGCAGATGCAGGAGATAAGATGTAACTGCTAAGGAGGTATATTCCACAACTTTAGAAGATGTTCTGGCTCGCAACTTCGTCCGTAACAGTTGACTTCAGGACCTGCTTTTACCCTCATTCTGTGAACTGTCATCTTCCTTTGCAGAAGAGAAAAACTGCAGTTCATGGGGCTATGTAGCAATGTTTAGCACCTTCTAATACTTTTAATTCAATTCATATTACAATATAAGAGTTGGGAAAAGCTTAAATTTGCTTGGAGGATCTTAAGTGTTTGAGCATCACATATTGCTAGAACTTAATTTAAGATCACCAGTCTTCAGCGACTTAAGCAATAAAATAAACTTTAAAAAAAGGCTGGTGCTGGTCTAGCATGTCCTAAAATTAAATAGCAAAAGAAAGACTGCAAAGCTACCTGGGCTTATTTTGTGCAGTCTAAGAACTATTGCTGTAGCCTTGTAAATTTTTCTGCTAATGTAATCTCAAGATTACAATCTCAAGACAATCTTACTTTTGTCAGTTCTTTCTTCCTCCCTATTTGCATGCCATGATTTTCAGAAATAACAAGAGATTTGAGCCATCCAGCTGGACACAATTTACATGGGCCTTATAGAGGTATGCAGTTCTCAAAGAGGTTGGGATGCCTAGAAATTTCTAAAGGACAAGCCCTTCAAAAGCATCTCAGGTCAATGAGATACCCCAAATCACTAGACACTCTTGAAAGTCTTATTCTTACAGTGCTTTTGTGGATCACATCACGAGCTAAGAATCACATCGTGCCACTGTTGCTAACATAGCAGGGAGGAGCGTGTTGTTTTTCTCTTGCAGTTCCTCCTCCCACACAAAAAGGGGCAATGCAGAGCACAAAAAGTTTTTTCTCCTGTTCTGCCTCGGTTGCCAGTGTGGCTAGCATGGAGCAAAGAACAGCTTAAAGTGGGGACAGTCAGCATTGTACATAGGGGCTTATCTATCTGCCTTCTGCCCCTCCAAACATAAGTGGCAGCAGGATGGGGTTGTGTTGGTGCTGATTGTGAGGAAGAAAAGAGCAAAGGGTTACTTAGAGAAACTAGTCCTGAAATGAAAGGGAGTGAGAGGACTGCAGTGAGCTGAACAGGTCAAGAGCAAGAATACAGAAATGGCTGGCTAGGCCCCCAAGAAATAGACAGAGAGGTGGTGTGGGTCACCATTGGGTGAAGATGCGCAGCGTGTGCCTCCCACTGCAGCCCAGTGCCAGGAGCACAAGACATTCACTCTTTTGAGCTGTCTGTCTTTTTTAGGGCCTCCTTCTATATCAGCTAGACTTCTGGTATGAATGAAACCAGGCTGAAGCCCCAGTATCCAGGTATCAGCCTAGAGGTGTGTGCCTGGACTGCCACATGTAATACTAAAGCCTGGACCACCTTTGGCGTCTGTGACACAACCTGTAGCCATTTGTCCACAGGAGCAGGGCGGAAACTCCGTGTGTGCTCCGTATTGACTTTGCCCATAGAAACCTCTTTTGCAACAAAGCTTCCTATGGCAAGAGCCAACTGCATGTTTCAAAGCAACGGTCCAGTCTCCGTGCACAAGCCCCAGCTGAGTGACCATGACAACAGAGTGTACACAAAGGTTACAGGCATGGGGCTGACCCACAGCCCAGACTGGGGACACTCCAACCCACGAGTCCCAGGGGAAGAGATGGGGCACCTAGGGCCACCTAAGGAACCATCCCCAGAGACACGTCTGCCAGTGGAAGACTGCTGGGTGTCCAGTGAATAGGTTGCTGTGCTAGCCATGGAAAAGGGAAGGAAATGAAGAGTGAAGAAGCTAGCCATTTTTCCCTTTCCATTAAATCTTTTTAAGCATTTTATTATAAATGAAGTCCTTATCAGGATTATTACAAGGTAAGCTTCTTGAGGGTAAGTCCTGAATTCTTTTTATGCGTTTTAACAAAAAGGCATTTATGGGTGAAAGCTAGCAAAATTGTTTCATTTGCAGACAAACTTATCCTCATAAACTTACAGAATCTGTCTCATTCCTGATTTAGGAATAGCCTGATAAATATATATAAAATTGTTTTATCACATTATTAATTGCATACACCTGTATTAGACACAAGGCATAATTGATTATAACTACTTACACATATTCAGTTTTGTCCTGCAGAACAGATTTGCTAATTTCTTTAGCTACCACAAATTAGTGTAAAAGGTTTGAGCAGCCTCACATCTGACTACCAGCACGATCTGTGTTCCTGTATTTTTCTGGAAAAAAAAGCTTTCTGAAGTTCAGGGAACTAGTGAAATTCTACTGTTCTTACTGCTGCTGTGGTTACATGCAGTTTCTTCTGAAAACCTTTAAATGGAAATTGCACAAAACCTATGCTGTAGGACATTAACTCAAATGCCTCAACTAGAGAACAAGGATAAGTAGGATCACTGTGACATAAGCACTAACAGCTGACATGCTGTAAACCAGGTAGAATGTTATTCATGTTGGACATTTTGTCTTGGCCCAAATTTGCAGCTGTATTAGCACTTCCAGCTTGGAATACAGCTACCACTTAGTCCGCATTCATGCAGCAAGGACTGCATGCCAAGGCTTTTCTCATTTCCCATTTCCATTGTGGTGCATTATAATAATTTAAATTTTAGTATTTCATTGCTTTGTCTGTGTGCTCCTGAAATGATCTTTGTGGTGCATCCACTGCAGTTTTTATTTATTAAGAACAATTAATTTGTGATATAAAGACTTTGGATTTAGTAGAGTAACACTAAGGGTGATATGACCAGTGTTTTCCATTATTGTCAATTGTTTGTTGTTATAAGAGCACTTGAGGAGATAGAGTATGTTAATACAATTATTGGAAGTGCTTTCTTTTTTTCTTTTTTTCCAGGTTTGAATGCCACGACCCCATCACAAGAGTAGTGCTTGGTTTGTAGGCAGTGTAGTTAGCTGATTGTATCCATTGCTTCGCAATCACTAACTTTGCTGCCATCAAAACAAGGCACAGGATTCCCTGCTACAACCTCAGTACGGAAAACTGCACTACAAAACTTCCTTACAACATCCTTATTCCTAGTGCAAAATTATTAATAATGTTTATTCATTTACAGCTTTATTTCCAGAATTTTAGCTGTCCAACAGAAGCGTATGGTCTATGTTGGCAATATCAAGTGAAATCTTAGATTTCTTGAAGTTGGTGCTAAAATCCTTAGGAACTTTCCTGGAACAAGAACGCTGTCTGTTGTGTTTAAATTGTTTAGCTACATGAAGACTTACTGTATACTTAATTGTTTATGCACCAAGATTGGACTAAGAATTTTTTTGATTGTACCCTTCAGTTTATCTGTCAGGTATTGGGAAAATAATTTTCATTTAGCTTTCATGTCTTATTTAACAAGCTAGTAAATGAAGGGGGGTTTTGATTAAATATTAAACTCACCATATGCTCTAAATGTTTTTTACTCTGACCACTTTGCTTAACATTCAAGAATTTTAATAATGGAGAAAATATTTAATACTGCTAGAACCTGGTCTAAAAGTTCTTTTTAACAAAACCCCAATATTCATCAAAGTAGGAGTTGAAAGGGAACTGTCTCTTACATCAGCCTAGTTACTAGGCAGTGTAGTTAGCTGATTGCCAAAAGTAACAATCACTAGCCACACAGCCAGGTAAAAAGGTTTGGAAGATATCTCAATGGAAATCAGATACATGGGAATTTTGGCAACAGAAGGCAGGTAGACTAACCTCTTTGCATAAGCATCTAACAGACAGGCAAGACAGCGACATAAAACAAGTGAAATGTACTGGATTGCCTGTCACACATGCAAGAGACATCAGTGCATTTGTGAAGCCAATTCAACTGCACCTTACTGTGTGATACACTTCATTCACAACTGTTTTGCATACAGAACACTAAAAACATGAGAATAAATTGAAAGGTTTTTTTCTTCCCAAAATTTGCAGACATCACCTCCCATTCTGATTGTGCTCATCTCAGCCTTGTCTAAGGACACTGTTTTCACATTTACCTCCATTTACTCTTGTTGAATAAATAAAACCGAGGCCTGTGGTGGCAGCTATTTCCTGCTCATAGAGAGCCCGAGGCTAGACTTGAGTGAAAATGGCCTGAAGACACTTGAAATGAGATGAACAATGTGGTCAGCCTTCTGGTCTTCCATGTTTACTGTGACAGGCGGTGTGTCCCTTACCGTGCAGCTGGGTCCAGGCTTCCCAGGTATGTCTGTGCTGCTGTGTCCCCTCTGAGATGGCTTCACACCTTCACTACAGTCCTCCCTCCTGGCACCCAGAGGCCAGTGATGGCAGGAAAAAGGGAAGGGTCCCAGCAGAGAGGTCACAGGTACTTACCGCAGCAGGTGGCAGTGACAGGGACATGTCAGTGGCATGGGCAGCACCAGGGTCCTGCTGTCCTCTTGCTTCCTCGTGGCCACAGGGCAGGAGTAGACAGGCTGATCTGAGTGGGCCCACCTCATGGAGAGGGGACACCGGGGCGCAGCCCCATGCAGCGCCAGGGGGACAGAGCCAGGACAGCACCCGATGGCACCCGATGGGCCCCTTGTTTTTGCTGGTTCGAGCCCAGCCAACATGGGCTTTGCCCGCACCTTCTAGACTTCAGCCATGCTCCCACTGCCACTCGAGTCCCACCTAGGCCCTGCCACCCTGCAACGTGAGGGGACCCTGCCCGGGAAGGGACCCTGCCCTATGGCGAGACCCTTGCCTTGTGAGGGGACCCCATGAAGGGACCCTGCCCCCTGGGGAGACCCTCCTGCAGCCTTACACCACCTCTGGGGCCGCACACCTCTCTGCAGGGTCCTGCACCTTGCCTGGGGCTTCATGCTCCTCCTGGGGCCCCTTTCCAGAGCTTCACACCTCTCCTGGGGTCCCCACACCTTCCCTGGGGCCTCACACATCCTCCCGAGGCCCTGTGCTCTCCCAGGGACCCCAAACCTTTTGCCTGAGCCCTGCACCATCTCCAGACCCCAGACGCCTCTCCAGAGCCTCATGTCCTCCCTGCACCACCACCCGCCACCTTCCCAGGTGCCCTTAACGTGATTTTACTTTCCAGAGAGAAGTACTGGAGAGCACCGGGGCCCACAACTTTCTGGAAGTAAGTATGAAGTACTGCGTGCCCCCAGCTTGCTAAACCTTTGTTGCCTAAGGTTTCTGGGAGGAATTAATTCTCTCAGAAATGAATAATGACTCATGCCAATACGCTCTGGATGACAGAAGAGCCACAGCCCCTATGTGCACAACAGATATTTCAGCTGATACCTACTGTCTTGGGATCCAGACACTGGGATCATTAACTTTCTGAACGGCCCCAAAGTACACTGTGGTTCAGTTGCCCTCTGGGAAGGACGGTGATAGTAGGACCACTTCCTCATTTGCCTCTCATTTGTCTTATTTAGAAAGTGAGAAAAACAGTGAGCAAGAGAGACTCTGGGAAGCTCAAAGCATGGAGAAAGCTAAAGGAAAAGTAAAATATCTTCAGCAAGTAAGAACCACTGATCCCGACTCTTTTTTCATAAATCTTTCCATTCACTGTGTGTCATTTGGTGGAATACTGGAACTTTGGAAATGACATGATGAACAGTAATGAAAATTGCCCGGACCTGGCCCGCTGTGTGGTTTGCATGATGCAGCCCATTTCTTGATGGTTAGCTTAAACTTATTCCCAATTGGGTCATGCTGGCTTGGGGCAGGACTGAAAGTAGTAGGCAGTGTACTTAATTTCTTCATAGTAAGCACATAATGTCTGTTGATTTAGTATCTAAAAGTGTCTGTTGATTTAGTATCTAAAAGTAGCCAACTGAGAATGCCCAGGTTCAAAAGTGGATAATCTTGGGGGGGAAAAAAACCACCAGTGCCGCATGCACTTTCACACATTAAAATCCTGGCATAGAGACATTGAAGCACAGCTCAAAGCATAAGTGTATTTCTTAGTTGTCTTAGTTATTAATGGATCTTCTCCATTAGCCTATGCCCAGCAGCAGCTAGTGCCAAGAGTTCACTGAGTGAGAGATGCGGGAAATTTGGCAGTGGGCTGTTATTAAGTTGGCTTCCATAGAAATACTTCTGCCTTAGCCTGTCACTCAGGGACAGGTTTAGGTGATATTTTTAGAGAGCTATAATCCAAGAACTGCTAGACCAAGCCATTTCAAATTTTGTAGAAACTACTTAGCTGCAGAACAAACTGTAGATTTTAGCAAACAACATCAAAACTGAGTTTATAGATGATTCTGTCTTTCCAAAGGAAGGCGTAACAGTGATATTGTAGCGCCTTTCAGGTTGGATCCTTCTGGACTGCGTAGAGCCTTCTGACTTAGTGGAGTTTTACAAAAGCTAACATCCACCTGGCATGCAACCGCCCACTCGGCACTTTAGTTAATGGTTCCTGTAGTCTGTAATTGGTGGATAGGATCAATAAAATTTAGCATTCTATGAGTTATATATACTCATGTTTATGCAGTGACTCAAGCATTAAATTGGCCATGAAAAGCAGCAAATTAAGTGACATGGTATCCAGATCACTGAGGTTCATCTCCTGCAAAACAGTGGGATTGGACCAAGTATATAGAGCTTGGGGTTTCTTCTGCTACTTTGACAAGAAAAAGAAGATGCAGATAACAGTTGTGCTTGTTATTGAGACACCGATACAAACTTCTACCGAAGCCCCTATTAATCTAACCGGTGAATTAATGTTCCACAGACATACCATGAATACAATTCACAGAAGTAATGGAAACTAAGACAACTAGTATTAAATATTGTAATAACATTTTCAGCCTGACTCTGTAATTTACACTTTTTTTTTTCTCATTTTAGTAAAACGTTCCACATTTTTACTGAAAAGCCTCTAGCCTATATTTGGGAGGCAGGCCAGATGAGAGCAATCTGCAAGAGGTGCAGAAAGGTGCTGAGCTCTGCAAGTCTTTCCTGCAAGTCAGCAATCCTCCTTTTCCAATTAATAATTCCAAAATGCATCTCATCCATTACCATCAATTAGCCTTCTTTCTGAATTCTGGCTGAAGCTAGCAACAGTTCCCTGAATCTTTTGTTAATTTTTTTAAAATTCAGTAACAATAGATGATAGCAAGGGTTTGCAGCTTTGGGCATCTGGCAGCCATAAAGATGACTGATTAATTTCAATGAGTAAATTACTTTATACAACTACAGGACACATTATAAGCCTCACATAAGTCTAAGAAAACTAAAATAAATGCACTGAATGAAATAAGAATAATGTTCACATTATTATCAGTCATAGGTGTCATTTACTGTTCAAATCCAGATTTCAGACTTGATTCAGACATTCTGTTCCTGCAGCATGTCCCCTGGGAGAGCAAAACCTGGAAGCTCTGCTGTGCAAATCTGGGAAGTGAATGTTGTCTCCACAGTGGTACACGGACAGGGTTTTTTAGAAAGCAAGCTTAGCTGCATTAACACTGTTATTTCACAAACTGACAATGAATTCATTTATTAGAAATGCTTATTTTAATTAGTTAATTTCATATGAAACAGTAGTGAGGCACCTGGCAAAAAAAGCTGTTGTCTTTTGGATGTTTATTTCACTGGACTATTGTGTAATTCATTAATTCCCACAGGCTTTACAGGACAGTTTATGATTAACAAAGACATTTCAAAATTATACACACTGCAAATCTGAGTAATCAGTTTAATGCATCTAAAGTAGGAATGCTTAGCTTGTCTGAATAGATCTTGGTATTGCTAGACATTTTTCCAGTCTGGCCACTTTTCCTTTTGATCTTGGTCTTATTTGGCTACCTTTAGTTAGTAAGTTCTAAGGTACCATCCCTGAGCCTGTCCTGTGGACTGCCTGCCTCACTGAACAAAAATACAGCTTCCTATTGTGACCTAAGATGTGGCTCGGTTTTGCTTTCCTTTTTATCAGCTCAGGTATTTTACTTCCCTTTTGTGAAAGGGGAATAACAGTGAAGGATAAGAATTCGAATTCTAGAATATTGGGTGGGTGTTACTTTTCAATATCAGGACTCCCAAACATCTAGAGCTTGGGCTTTGTCTTTTATGCTGTCGTTTACATTAATCTGTTGGGGGGAAAAAGTTGGCATTTTTTTTAATTAGGTTTAAAGCTGATTAAAACTTGGAAATGGTTGTTGAAGAAACCACTTTAAATAATGAAGATTGCTTAATTTCTAAAATCAAACTGCATGGAAGAAATTGTCATCAGACAAAAGAATCCACCGCACTAAAAAACAGGGGGTTTCCCCATTAATTTTACATCATCTTTTCTTAACCACTTCTGGATGGAAAAGAACAAATAAGAAACTCTTTTACTTTTTTTTTATTAGTCATATGCTGAGATGTGCTCCTTTCTGGCACTGGTTGAGGGTTTTCCCAAAATACTTCCTGGAATGTCTGTTTCATAACAAATTGCTAGGAATTTCTGAAAACAATTTAATATGCTTTCACTCAGCTTAAACAGTGATGTCTCACTGTAGCTGAAAGCTATTCATTTCCATAAGGCAAAAATATACAGATGTGCTCAGATGTCTGGGAATCAGAATACTAAAAAACTCTCAGTAGGAATTTATTCTCCCTGGGAAATTATTTTTTCTTCCAACTGTATAAAGAGAGGCGCTTTAACAAGTTCTAGGATGTGTACTTCTCTTCTTGTAGAGAGAAGAACCTGGACCGTGGATTGAAAAGAGTCATTAAATGTTCCGTAGTTCAAAACTGGACTAAATTCTGTCACCTTTGAAATTATCGCAGTTTTAAATCACTTCTACAGAGTAGCAGAGACTGGCTTAATCCAAAGATGCATACTGAAGACAAAAGTTATCTCTGATTGCACCTCTCAGATGAAAAGGTTTTTGCAATGAGTCATTACGCATGTGAGAGTCCTGAATTACCTCAATTTTATAATGTCAAGATGCTACAGAATAGTATTTTCCAACTTTAGTATGTATATTCATCTTGACATTTGGAGTGATTCCTTCTGATTTGAGGAAAGAATGATTATTTCAAACCCCATGTAAATCTAGGAAGAGAAGGTTGCTCTCCCAAGTGGTGTGTTTTCAGGATCTCAGGAAGAAAGAGGAATCAAAGTACTCTCTCCAGTAACCTGTTATGCCTGTTTCTGCTGTATATTCACTCTAGTTCTCAGCTTCAATGAGGAATTTAAAGTTTACAATCAAGTTAAGTATTACATGCTTTTAATTCATTTTTCTGAGCTCATTGTGGCAAATATATTTCTTTTCAGGCCAGGAGAAGAGAAGAAATACTACCTTTCCTGAGGAAACAGAGAGCAGAAAGGATTGCAGTGAGTCTAATTCCTTTTTATTATGGATGCATCTCAAGGTTTGTGCATGCTGACAATATGGACAGCATTCAAAGGACCATAGTCCAGTATATGAGGGTTCATGGGGTGTTGAAAACTATACCGTGGTATCAGTCTTGCACAGCAAAAGCACCTCAGTTTGAACTGAGTAAGCATGCAGAAAAGTTGGTTCTATTCAACAAATTCCCTAAGCAAAGAGGATCCTGTAGGCTGTGTGATCTCTGAAAGTCTCAGGCCAGACAGTAGGAAGCAATAGGCATAGAAGCTAAAAGAAGCTTAAGCGAGCTAAATATGGTTATTGGACAATTTCCAGTCTGAAAACCGCAAGGAGTAAGACAGTGATATTATAAATACGTTAAAGTGTTTGAAGGTATAACTGACTGTTTCTTGATGCTACATTTTATTTTTGTATGGGTATATCTATAATTTACTCAGCTATAACATGCTGGCCTTGATTACTTTCTCCAAGACAACAGAATAGAAGAGTTGCTGAGAATGGATTGCGTGTCTTCTTGGAAACTATCTCAAAAGGATGACTTAGTACATCAGAATTTTCACAGAAAATGTGGAGATGCTTGTGGGAGGAGCAGACAGGAACTGAAGCTGACCTCACTGGTGGAGGCAGATAGGGAACAGAGCAAACATGAGAAGGCGCGGAATCTTGAAAACTAGAACAACTTGGGACTGAGAAGGGAAATACAGCAGAAGCAGTGACTATAGTGCTCTCAGACTGGCAGTGAGGACTGTGGCAGCACTTTGCTGAAGGCCCTGCATTCTATATAGACATCCATAATGAAAGGACCTCAGTTATTTAAATTAAACCAATTTTAATACAACTATGTGTAAGTGTCTAAATTTCTCAGTTTAATATGCCAAAGGAATCTTTACAGCCTGTGCATTGTCAGTTGCTTTGATTTTTTTCATTATTGTCTATAGGTCTTTTTCCAGTGAAACTCTAATACTCAGTTTATAACAAAGTTACTAGACTGGCTGCAGGTTTCACATGCTCTGCTTCCTAAAAAGCTCTCATAAACTAAATTTGATCAATAAAAGGAAGAACTCCATTTAGGGATTTTTATTATTATCAGTAGTGAACTCTAAATTTACTGATTTATAATGGTTTTGCTTGGCCTGGCCGGATGTTTAGCAGGAGAAGAAAATTCAAGAATAAGAGGTCTGTATTATATTGAGGTAGTTCTTTCCTTCAGTTGTAATTCACAAGATACAAAGCAGAGATAGATGAGTTTTTACCCCATATAAGGTTAAACATCTGTCCTTCCAAAGAACTACATATCCTAATTAATAAAATTTCATTACTCAATACCAGAGAGTAGAACTGACATTTTAGAGCTGATAAGTGTAGTGATTTGAGAAGTAACTTGGAAAACAAGATTTCAAAGGGTACTTTCAGAAATGACGTATTCATTTTAGACATAAAAGCCTCTTTTTTTCTTCCTCCTTATTTAAGCTTTTAAGTTGGTTCATATTACGTACTTACTCTTCTCAAAGTTTATTAAAATCCTGAACCAAGTATATCTGCTTTGTGCAAATTCTATGCATTAAAGCTAGGCCTGAAACAAAACATGAGTCTCCTTCCTCCTGACACAATAACTTACATGAGTTTTATACTCTGGACTACTCAGGTACCATATTAGCACATTTAAAAACACCAAACTCTTTACTATTGCTAGTGTAGTCTTTTGTTTAAGTGTTTGTATAAAGCTGTCTTCCAGGATAAACAGTAAGTTTAGAATTTACTAGTGATAATTAATGTGTCTTTCTCTCTTTTTAGAAAGAGATGATTTCTCATCTGCATAAACCAAAGATCAAAACTGATCAAGTAAGGTAATGAAAATACTTAAAACAAGTTTGGTTTTGGGTTTTTTTTCCTCTGTCTAAGTAGACAGGCCCTATTTTGGGGGGAAAGATGTTCTGGTTTTACTATTATTATTATTTTGTAAATAACTGCTCAGTTTTATCCTATATTAATACCTATTATCATAAAACTTAGACATTAAAAGCCTGAAAGTCTGCTGCCATTGTTCTGTAATTTACTCCTTTACTTTCTAAATATGTTCTGTTTATTTCTAAATAGCGGTTAAGGGAAGGAAGTGGAAGCTTAGGCATTTTTTAAAAGTTATTAAGACTTTAATTTTGCTATTCTGGTTGGAATTCAGAAAATCAGGAAAAAGACCAGTTGTCAAAGTGTTTCCATATTTCTGAAAGGGTCAGGAAATACCAGAAAGCCTGTTCCTTTCCAATGCATGTCTTGGCTGAATGAGGGAAGAAACACCAGTGTGACCTTGGCAGTAGTATCACACTGTATAGCTGCTTTCTTTGGCTATATTTTTCCAAATTTTAAGAAGTTTCCATGTTTATTGCCCTGTCATAGATCCAAAAATAGATCACCAAAATAGCATATTACACCATCATGTCATGTTGCATGAGATGACTCATTCAAATTCTTTGGAAAGTCAGCCTTACAAATACTGACACACAAATCCAGAGCGAGGGTTTGATCCTGAATATTATTCTGCCTGGATGCACTGCAGCATTCTTGTGGAGCCCTGTTGAAACTGTCTCTGTCATCACACACGTGTCTGTAAGATACAGCTGGTAAACTAAGCCTTTAGGAATACCTGAAGACTTTGGAAACACGTGGGATGAAATTACCTGAAGTAGACTTTCCTTAAGTTTACACCAGTGACATAGGTGCAACGGTTGCTAAACCAGGCAGTAAAGGATTCCTTAATTTGTAACAAACATTAGGCCTGAGAGTGCTGACAATCTGGTTATGTTATGCCGGACAATTTCCTTCCTGGCATTTGGCTGTGACCTCCTGAATGATGCAAATGCTATTATTTTCCAGTGTCAATAAGTATCTATTAAAATAAACAGGATCCCCGCAGCTGTCAGGTAGGGACTATGCCAGCAGAAACACAAGTTTAAGGTCATCCACTGTTACTGTTAGTCTGGGACTAGGAAGAATTGGAAAACTGCCCCACCAGAACTACAACAGCATGTTTTGGCTTATATTACGGTATATGTAAGTCATCTCTCAATTCAGGATAGACAGGTTTATTATTTTTAACTAGTGGCTAGCTGATTCTTTTCACATTTACTGCTAATACTTTCCATTCTGTACTGTGAAGTTGAGGCCGTTGCTTTTGCCCTTAAAGTACATCAGCGCTGCCCTGTATATCCCAAAATCTTAATCTCCTTCCTCAAACATAGTTGTGTCAGTCAGATGGGAGTGACGAAGGCAGTCCTAAAGGTGCGCTTGGGCCATGGGCTAAGCTACAGTGCAAAGAGTTAAAGAGAATAGCTACACTTACTATGAAGTTGTTCTTTATTCCTAAAAACCACCTCATCTTTGAAAATGCTGACAAGGTACTTGATTCAGCAATTTCTTCCTTTTAATGAATGCCATTTAAATTATTTAAGTGAGGCCATTTTTCTCACACTGGCACCAGTTTAAGTAAGATGGTGTCATTGAATATCCACAACTTAAAGACTAAGCAATGAATCTGCAGCTTACATCTTCCTTCCAACTTAACATACAAATATGAAACCTGAGAAATGACTGACAACAATTCACTTTGAAAGCAAGTATCTTAGGAAAATACTGGGCATTAGGTGGAATTAATTTCTAGGATTACTATTACCTCCAAAGTTAGCTATAAAAGAAAAACCGAAGTATCTGGAACAACTGAAAAGGCTGAAGGTGTAATGTCTGCTGAGGTGAGCAGCTGCAGGAGTAGATGTAAGTGAACGACCTACAGAATCCTTCCTTCCATCATCAGATACCTACAGAAGGAAAGCTTAAGCTGTCTTGAAGCTGTGCCAAGGACAACCAGTGGAACTCTTTACCTGAAATGATAGTTAACTGCATGGGGAGGGTTAAGATTCATGCTTTATGTAGCAGCTTATGGCCTGTGAAGAAAACTATAGTCCAGTTTATTAAACTATCACATTTTTTCTTGTAAACATTTTAATCTGAAAAATATGCATCACTGTATTTACTGAAGCAAACTCACCCAGAGCACAGGGTATTGATTACTGCTGTATTTAATTAGAATAATCGTGTTTTTGTAATGGTCTGTTAGCAGTCATTACTAGGAAATATGATCATACCAAATTTACTAATGTCTCATAAAATATTTAGAGTCTGTATTGACCAAGATGATCCCTGTTTCCAGTGGCAACTCAGATGAATGGCTGAGAAAATATTTCATATTTTGAGAAGAGCTACATTTGTGAAAATATTTTCCATGGACAGAATACGCTCTCTTCCTGATTCTTTTTTCCTTCAGTAGGTCCTCTTTTTTCTTGTTCCTCATCTTTTTCCTGATTTCAGCAGACTCATGATTTGTGCATGTATTTTCATAGGCCTTCATTTTCCAAGTGTTTAAAAACAGAAATAATGATGTATTCCTTACCAGTATTCAGGGGAAATAGCTTAAATAGTTCAGTGCTTTGGGTTTTTTAGCTTTGTTCAACTAGCAGCTTGTGGTTTTTGCAATGAATTTATATTGCTTTAAATCTACAAATCAATACAGATCTTGGAATGTAAACTTGTGTGTACTGATAAAAAGAAAAGTATTTCCTTAGAGAAAAGCATTAAGCTAGTATAAAGCACTTCTATACTGATATATAATTACATCCCTATTGGGAATTATACTGCAGTAGCTTTCCAAAAAAATCTCCCAATAAGCTGCGTACCTTTAGCAATACAACTACATGAATGCAGTATGTGCACGTTGAAAGGGTTTCATCCAACTGCTTTGTGCCTGAGTGTAGAACTTACTGAGGAATTTGGAATATGAATTCTGTGCAGTACTTCACCTGATGAAATGTGATTTTTCTGTTGGCTTGTCTGTTGCCTTTGAAGTTTTTCTCAGTGAACTTTTCTGTACGTTCTGATACTTGTATGGGCATTCTTTTGTGTGGATTCTCTGAACTAGTGTTCTGTGATTTTTGCTTTCTACACATAGCTAGGCATTTATAAGGCACCTCTGTGTTTAGATACACATGTAAGTACCTGACATGATGACACAGACAGGGCCAAAGAACTCTGCACCCTGGCAGCTATTTCACACTGACTCTTCTCTGTAGAACTGGCCAAAAAGTCAAAACCCACACCATTTTCAGGACCTTTGTATGCCTGTAACCAACTGATGTTTCATGTAGATTAGCTGCAGCTACCCCATCAACAATTTACTTTATCTGATATAGTTCTGTAATTTCCAGCAGGCTGAAGGTGTCTGAAGCTGACCTTATGGATCAAGAAGCAATAAAGGCTCTTAAATAGTTCAGCTAAATTGTCTGATGGAGAGAATAAAATGTTTCTTTGCCGCAGAAAAAATATCCTGCTCTTAGAGCCATGCTGCTTTGGACTTCAAGACATGAACATTCCTCATTTGACTACGTATCTAGTTGTTCCTACTGAGACATGGCATGAATGTGACAAAGGATGTGGATAGGCTTGCAGCAACTTGTCAGCCTATCCATAAATGTCTTCGTTTTGCTAAAGTTAAAATAAATGCTTAATTCAGAAACATTTTAAATTATGTAATTTATTTACTTAGTAAAGTATTAATTGCTAATGTGCTGTTGTTGATCTTGGAAACACTAACTTTTTTATTGTCCTCTTGCTTTCCTGTTGACTTGGCACTACAGCAGTGAACAACGTATGCCAATAGCTGCTTATCAAGCCTCAAAATCACTCTGAATTCTGTTCTTTATTGGCATCTTACACCAATGTACTGTGAGACAAAGTGGGGGGCTCAATTTACTGCCTTCTCAGTGTGCAGGAAATGAAAATGCTTGTTTCATTTATGGGTTTTTTGAAGTTTTCATCATGAAAGGAAAAGGGTAATGAAGTGCAAAAGTGTCAATGCATTTGGGATGCTAGGAATTCTAGAACTGGAAAGACATATGCTTACATCTTTTACAAGAAGATAGACTGTATATTTTCTTCAGGTTTGTGCCAGATATCATCTACTGATACAATTTGCTTCAGGAAAACACATTTCTCTCACATGTGTGCTCCTCCCTACCTCAATTAAAATACCAGTTTTGCCTGGCTAACATTGACATAAATCTTTATCATCAAAGTTGGCTTTTGAAATATTAATGCGAAAATATTTGGGAGCCAAAATAGGTACCTGGGCAGCTGTAGACTTGTATTCGGTGGACATCTGTGGTCCTGGGATTTTTGACTTGCAGGATTTGAAATCTTCTGAACTTACTAGACAGCTTTCAAATGGCACACTTCTATGATCTGAAGGGGCTGTTAAACTGAATATATGCATTTCATGTGTGCTAAATTTACCAAAATTATAAATGGAGAGCAACTGCTTTGGCGATGTTAGGAAATGCCTTTGCAAAAGTAGAATCCAGGTCAAACAGAAGAGTCTGTGGCTAGTAATATTAAGGTTGCACAATAAAGACACTAAGTTTTGTTATCATGTTATACATAGTGTTTGAATGCTTGCAGTTGACCTTTGTTAAAAATAGATCAACAAAGGCTTCTGCCAGCTACTGCCATTTTGCTGTTGAAGTTAGCAGAATCTTTGGTAACCATTTTGCTGCTGTTGTATGACAGTGTATTCCTCAGTTGTGCTTTTGATATGGGAGAGGCTGTAAAATGCAAGTGCCAGAGTATTTATTCACCAGTAATTCAAGAAAGCATGTTGATAATGCTGCTACTACTTGCCATGGATATATTCAAATTTTTTTTCCTTCAGAGCCATCACAGAAATGCTTTCCAATGGATTTAGAATACAAACATGCTGAAAAAAGGATAGACTGCTAAAATTATTAGCAGGGGGCTTTAAGCTGTGTTACAAAAATACCTACAGCTGTAAAGGTGAGTCTTTGTTTAATTTCTAGAAACACTGTAATTATTTTGGTTACTTTGGTCTGCAAAACAAGAAAAAAATGCCCCAAACAGGATTTCCTTTGTCAAAAGTTCTCCAAAGAATGAATGTACTGGTGGAGCTTCAAGATAATGAAGATTGGCTTGATAAAGGCTTGACTTCAGTCTTACAACTGAGGCTAGCCAGTTCAGATGCTCGGTTCTTCCCTCTATTTGAGGCATTTCTAATTATATTACCTAACAGTTTGGAAATAGTTAAATGTGTATGTCACTTTCATGGACATACCTCACTTTGAGTTGTTTTGTCTTCTAAAATACATGAAATTAAATGCAAAACTGTGTCACCAAAATATGAGTCCTCATTCAAGTTCATGAAACCAGTTAAATTGCTCATGTCTGTAAAGTTGCTCAAGGGCCTAGTTATTTACTAAATCCAAACTTTGATCACCAAGGACTGGCCCAGGTTGCCCAGAGAGGTGGTGGATGCCCCATCCCTGGAAACATTCCAGGTCAGGTTGGACGGGGCTCTGAGCAACCTGGTCTAGTTGAAGATGTCCCTGCCCACGGCAGGGGGGTTGGACTAGATGACCTTTAGAGGTCCCTTCCAACCCAAACTATTCTATGATTCTATGAAATGTAAACGTTCAGTTTGAGAATACCATTGAAGTGTGTGTTTCACAGATATGACACATGCTGCAAAGCCATAGCCTTAGTTCAGCTCCAACACATACCTCTGAGATTCCTGACTTCTGGTGACCTGGAGTGGAATGTCTTAATGATATTTTAAAGGATCTTTCTCTATTTGAGATACTGATTTCAGAAATAGTTTCTTCAACTGCACTCCCAAGAGTTGGGCTAGGTTTTAAGTCTTTCATAAAATCATTAATCTCCTATTTTAAAACATCGACCCCAGCTAGTATCTGTCTGAGCAGAAACTGTAGCTCTTAAGGCTCCTGTATTTGTTCATTTTGGTGCTCTGGCCCCCTTCTGCAACCTGCAAAAAGCTCTTAGAGGCTGAGCCATTAAAACCTTAGCTGGAGAGCTGTTGTTCCCGGAAACAGGTGCACTCCAGCTTCCTAGCCACCAGGAAGCAGGCTCAGCATTTATTAATGTTTGAAACAAAGTTCTTGTGTTCTGCTTTCAGCCTTGAAGCAGTTTCTTAAAGGCAGCTGCACGTCAGTACGGGGAGGGTCGGCCTTTGGTTTCCGGGACTGCAGGTGCGGTTTCCATCACTCATACGTTGGGGTGGATGGAGATGTCTCCTGTGCTCACACCTTGCCGTTTGTGTGTGGGGCAGGGAAGTTATAAAGCTGGAGCGGGGGGAAACACGCAGGAGTGACGAGGTGTCTGAAGTGTGGCACGGGGGACAGTTGAGAACGGGAGCAGCAGGAAGAGGCGCGGGCTCGGCGTGTGCCCCGGCGCGGGAGAGGCAGGCGCCTCCGGAGGAGAGATGCGCAGCGGGGGAGGCGAGCCCGGGGGTCTTTGCCGCTGCCGCCTCCTACCCGCGTAGGGGCTGACCCT